TAATTAAAATCTTAAATCCCTTGCAAATAATGCATGAGATGTATTCGCTAATTTTTCAAATAGTAGATATAAGTCTGAGTAGAATGAAAAATAGGTATACAACAGTCTAAAAATAAACTGCAATTATTTTTCATAATGCCAGATGGCATAGGACAATGAGGTTAATTAATACTCAAATATAAATATTAAATTTTATATAGTGCAAGTGTTGATGAATTTCAAACTGATTGAAAGAATTCCTTTCCAAGGCTTAAAAAACCTTTCACAAAACGTGTCATGCCCCTTTTTCAAGGTACAATTATCTATCCAGTTTTATTGTGTAAAAAGATAATCTGATAACCTATTGCATCAAATGCTAAACAAACGCATTTATATTTAACTACTGCGTTAATTTTTGTTGAAAAGCATTGAAACTATAATGTACTTTGGTAGTTTTTCTTATGTTTTATTTAAAAGTTACGGTTCGATTATGATATAAATTCGTTACTTATAAATACAAACATTGACTTTTATTATCCACATGAATATGCTTTAAATTCAACTTTGCTATTGTATTGAATATTCTTAAAGCTTTGAAAAATGATATGTACCTAAATGTTTGAGGTGGAGAAAATTTAGGATAAAATATTTTTATAACATCTAAAGTTATAGGTTCTTTTAATTTAAATATGGATGATATCTCAATTCCAATAGCTTTGTTTGAATCATAATAATATGAATCAAAAAAAACTTTTTCAACACCTAAAGAATTTTTATGATTTAGCCACATTAAATTAGGTGTAGTTTTTATAATGCGATCTATTTTGCCATATCCAATTATAGCCTTAATAGGAACAGTGGCATATATTAGGATATAGTCTCCATCACTTACTTTCGGCTGAATTTTTCGTAATTCAATTGTCTTTTCCCCTTCAATGATTTTATAAGCGTATTCAGGTTTAATGGAAATAAGAAGGAATCTGGACATAAATTTTAAGCTAGAAAAAATCTGTAAATTTCATTAAAGATTTTATGGTCAATTTCAACCGGAGACGTAAAAGTATTTCTTTTGCGATTGTTTGCAATTAGTATTTCTGATATCTCCTTAAATTTT